GAAATTAAAAAGAAAAGAAAAATAAAAATAAAAGAGGAAATAGGTGAGGACACATTATATATGGTTGCAAATAAAAGAAATGAGCCCTTAGAAGAGTAAAGTGAGAGGTGAGATGATGAGCATATTTGGAAAGCAGTCAAGCACACATGCCGGGGCGGAACCCTAATCTCTCGCCGGCAACATCGTACACGAGCTCGAATGTCTTTTGCTGCCAGTTGCCAAAAATGGTGAAATCGGTATTCCCAGCGAAAGCGAGACATATTAGAGATTCGTTGACAGCATAAAATGTGTTGGAAGCATCCAAATCAACCTGCACGTTATTCTGAAAGGTGAAGGATACAGATGTAGCAACATCTTTTTCCTTGCGAACAAAACAAGTGTCCAGTATAGAATATGATGGTGCAGTGCGGTAGTTGTACTCTTTGATCATCACCTCCTTGATTTTGCTGCTCAACGAATTGTACACAACCGGCGGGAGACGAGATATCACTGTGCCTGAGTCTACGAGGACGCCGCCCGATCTCGTAAAAGCCTTTGGGTTGAATCGTAATTTTTTTCCTTCCACGGCTATGGACATTAATTCGACGAAGTAGTACGATGGGAATTCCGGATTCAAAATCAAAGGCGTGAACTTGGTGGCATTATCGTAATTATCTTTTCCCAATGCCAGGAAGCCTTTGGAGGACAGGCTAGCAGGTAAGCAGTAGGAGAAACATTTCTTAAATTTGATAGCAGTTTGGGAAAGTAGGGACTCGTTGCTTCTGTCCAGGCCCACAAGTCCAGATTCAAGTCCGAAAAGGCCCCGAGCATATTGGCTACAGCCAAACATGAAACCTGGGACTGCCACCTTGGATGCAATTGTAAGTGTGTCCTTGCTCAAGTAGCCAATGGTCATTGATCCATCACCGTAATTGTAGGAGTAGATGCATTTGCTGGAAGAGAAGCAGGTGGAACTGTCATCGTCACCCGCGAGAGAGGCAGAGCAATCACTGGAATTGCATGGGATGGAGGAGTATGAAGTGGATTTGAGGGGGTCGAATATTTCGCCTTTCTGCCTATGGCAGCCCAGATAGCATGGTTTGCATTGAGCCCACGTTAACCCGCTGCCGGTGTCAAAAATGAGTTTTTGCTTTATTTGTGGGGTGCCGAGGCCCATGGTGACGATGTAGCTGCCCGAATCTAGGGAATGGCCAGAGATGAGTGGCAAGCGAACAGCACCAGCACCACCACCACGACAATTGTTGATGGATTCCACCCTTAATTGATCCTTGCGGAGGATGTCGGCTGCACTTATTCCTTTTCTTTCACTACTATTGCCACCACATGGACCGTGGCTGTGGACGACTTCCATTACTGCTGATGATTGCCTATTCTTCATACCTGCACATTATCCAATATTCATCAATTTTGCTTTAGGAAAATACAAACACCAACTTGTTTTATCCTTTATCCAACAATAATTGATATTTATTTTTATACGCATATAGATAAATAATAAAATATGTCCACGCTTTCAACCATTATCCTCCACAACTATCTTAAATATAGTTTTGAGATCATTCTACATTACTTACATCACTTTGTAGTATACACTCATATACAATAAATCACTGAAAAAATGAAGAAAAATGTGATACCATGTGGGATATTTGAAAAAATGAAGAAAATATGATACCATCTGGGATATTTGAATTGCACACTGTAGCCGAGGGCTGGGAACTGATACCCAAGGTATGAAACTGAGTTTCTGAAGCCCGACTTTCATTTGAAGAACTTGAAAATAACATTAACAAAATAGACAAATAAAATAAAATATTAAATGAGGACAAAATAAAAGATTGAAGAACCGCCATATGACTAAAAATAATAATTCAGCTTCGTTTGGCCAATGGATGAGTTTTGAGTTTGGTATAATTGGTTTATATAAAAAATTTTCCATGCTATACTGTGTAAATTATTGAAATGAAAGTCAAGTTTTTCAAATACTGAATGATGACATTTATTTTTAATTATTATTTGTGTATAGATATAGAAATATTTTATTATAACCAAAAGTTGGACAGATGATTAAAAGTTATTAGTAGAAAGAGACATATTTACATAATTACTTGTTATAATTAATCATATCTTTATGACTTTTAATATGGCATTTATATTTTACCTCAAAATAAATAAAATATTATATTTATCGTTATAAATAAATCAAACGCTACAGAATCCTTTACGGCCGATTTCATTCTGTCATTTGGATTGGATAGATTTTAATTTACTTCTAATCCAAAAATAACTAGGTCTGAAATATTCATAAATATATTGGATATTTATGATCCTTTTTAAGAGAATTAATATTTTTTGATATCATTTCCTATTCTAGATGTGGTTTGTATGCATATTATTTTTCCATAATCTATCTTTTTCCCTAATTTCTTTTAAAGTTATTAAAATTTACAAACTTACATATAAATATAACTTAAAAATTACTATTTTTCTATTTACAATTAATTTTTTTATATATAATATAATTAATCATATCTTTATGACTGTTAATTTGACATCTATATTTTACATCAAAATAAATTAATATTATATTTATCGTTATAATAAGAAAATTACCTATAAGAATTAGTTTGAAAATATAAAATTTTTTAAATTAATTAATTGTAAAGTACAACCGCCATATGACTAAAACAATAATTCGGTTTTGTTTTACCAATGGATGAGTTTTGCGTTTGGTATAATTGGTTTATATAGAAATATTTCCATGCCATACTGGGTAAATTATTGAAAAAGTTAACAGCGAAAGTCAAGTTTTTCAAATACTGCAAGATGATATTTATTTTTAATTATTATTTTTGTATAGATATAGAAATATTTAATTATAACCAAAAGTTGGACATATGATTAATTAATGTTGTTAAAAGTGACTAGCTAGTAGAAAGAGACATATTTACATAATTACTTGTTATAATAAATTAAAAGTATATGTGGAAAATGTATGTTTAACTCACAATATAGTTCTTCTATATACTTAGAATATTTTTTAATGNAAAGCATAATTTATATATTCCTTAAACATAATTCACGAATGTGCTACGGCTAAGTGACATGCTCGAACGCTACAGAATCCTTTACGACTGATTTCATTCTGTCATTTGGATTGGATAAATTTTAATTTACTTCTAATCCAAAAATAACTAGGACTGAAATATTCATAAATATATTGGATATTTATTATCCTTTTTAAGAAAAATAATTATGTTTTGATAACATTTCCTATTCTAGACGTGGTTTGTATGCATAATTATTTTTCCATAATCTTTCATTTCCCCTAAGTCTTTCTTTTAAAGTTATAAAAAATTTTACAAACTTATATAAAAATATAATTTAAAAGATATTACTTTTCTATATACAATTAATTTTTTATATATAATATAATTAATCATATATTTAAGAATTTTAATATGACATCTATATTTTACATAAAAATAAATTAATATTATATTTATAGTTATAATAAAAAAATTATCTATAAGTATTAATTTGAAAATATAAATTTTTTTAAATTAATTAACTGTAAAGTAGAACCGCCATATGACTAAAAACAATAATTTGGTTTCGTTTGGCTAATGGATGAGTTTTGCGTTTAGTATATTTGGTTTATATAGAAATATCTCCATGCCATACAGTGCAAATTATTGAAAAAGTTACCAACGAAAGTTAAGTTTTTCAAATACTGAATGATGGCATTTATTTTTAATTATTATTTGTGTATAGATATAGAAATATTTTATTATAAGCAAATGTTGGACAGGGGATTAATTAATGTTGTTAATAGTTACTAGTAGAAAGAGACATCTTTACATAATTTCTTGTATAATAAATTATAAGTATATGTGGAAAATATATGTTTAACTCACAATATAGTTCCTCTATATAATTAGAATATTTTTTAATGTGTATTGACAGAGAAAAAAGCNTGTGTTGAGTGAGAAAAAAGCATACTTTATAATCTCCTTAATCATAATTCACGAATGTGCTAAGGCTATGAGACATGCTCAAACGCTACAGAATTCTTTGCGGCCGATTTCATTCTGTCATTTGGATTGGATAGATTTTAATTTACTTCTAATCCAAAAATAACTAGGCCTCAAATATTCATAAATATATTGGATATTTATGATCCTTATTAAGAGAATTAATATTTTTTTATATCATTTCCTATTCTAGATGTGGTTTGTATGTATATTATTTTTCCATAATCTATCTTTTTTCCTAAGTCTTTCTTTTAAAGTTATTAAAAATTTACAAACTTACATATAAATATAATTTAAAAATTACTATTTTTCTATTTACAATAAATTTTTTATATATAATATAATTAATCATATCTTTATGACTTTTAATATGGCATTTATATTTTACCTCAAAATAAATTAATATTATATTTATCGTTATAAATAAATCAAACGCTACAGAATCCTTTACGGCCGATTTCATTCTGTCATTTGGATTGGATAGATTTTAGTTTACTTCTAATCCAAAAATAACTAGGTCTGAAATATTCATAAATATATTGGATATTTATGATCTTTTTTAAGAGAATTAATATTTTTTGATATTCTAGATGTGGTTTGTATGCATATTATTTTTCCATAATCTATCTTTTTCCCTAAGTCTTTCTTTTAAAGTTATTAAAATTTACAAACTTACATATAAATATAACTTAAAAATTACTATTTTTCTATTTACAATTAATTTTTTTATATATAATATAATTAATCATATCTTTATGACTTTTAATTTGACATCTATATTTTACATCAAAATAAATTAATATTATATTTATCGTTATAATAAGAAAATTACCTATAAGAATTAGTTTGAAAATATAAAATTTTTTAAATTAATTAATTGTAAAGTACAACCGCCATATGACTAAAA